TAAATAAATGTATTAAATATTTTGATGCAGTTTACACCCAACAGTGTGACTGTTGGATGTAAACTGTTAGATGTAGTTATCGAGCAAATAATAACGCTTCTTGAGTTAATTTCATAAATCTTATATTCTTTATTTTCACCATTAGATGTGTTAATAACATTAAACCAAAATAACTATAACCAAATTCATAACAAAACATCATTCATAACAAACAACATTCATTGATTTATTTTATAAAGAACTCGAATTCATCATTCAGTATGCCGTCTTCCCCGTTCTATACAAATGATAGTCCTTTCAATCACATAATTTGTGGCTTTTTTAATAAATAGGTGATTTATATTAGCACAACATTCCCGAATGGTATTCTCTAAATGTTATTTGTTTGCAAATGGTATGTGCTTATGCACTAGTTATTTTAGATTACCCCATAGAAAAAAGTCCGTCGGAGATAAGTCCGATGATCTTGGTGGACAAGATCCACTGATCCACCGTTTGGTGGATCCGTGCCCCGTCAAGATAATGTCACAAATTTCGTCTAATACTTAGAGGCAGATTATCCAAAATTTCACACAACTGATTCATAATGAAATTTTGGTACACGTCTGGGATCAAATTTTCTCTAGAAAAATATGGTCCAAATATTTAGTTAAGTAATAACCCACACCGCACATTTATCCTAATAAATATTGAACAAAATAAAAATTTTACTCGAATATCGAAATCTATTTCTTTAAGAGCGTGTTTGAACTTTGGTGCAAAATTTTTCTCACAGTTTCTATGCCAAACTCTGTGTCTTCACTAATACTCCTAACAATAGTTTTTCTGTTTTCAACAACGCTCAAACAAACATTGGATTATGTGGTTTCTTGAAACTATTCAATATCCTTCTCATAGTACTGAAGTGAATATTACCTACTTCCTGGATGCCGGTGATTGAAAATACAACCGAGATCTCGATATGGCACATTTTCACCACATAAAAGAATGATTTTAACTTTGTCTTGTGTGGATAACATAGTACATAAAGCTTATTTGTGAATTATAAATGTACGAAAATCTGTACACAAAACAACTCGATTCATTAAACGCACTAATTTGACATTATAGGTACCCAAAATTAATTTTTTTTTCAAAAGCCTCTACTAAGGAAAAAATGTATTTCGATTTGATCTGTACCTACTATTTTCTTCCCGAAATTGTATATCATATTTGGTACAGAATATTACTGGAGTTTTTTCCCAACACCAAATCGTTATTTTCAACACCTCGACACGTGTTTCGATCACCAAGTGATCATCTTCAAAGAGGAAGATTAAGTTAATATTTTGGGTTAGTTTGTGACTGAATTATCGGTCAGAAAAATGATCAAACTGGATAAAAATCTATTAAAAAAAGGAATACGAGTGTATTGAGATTGAAGAGAAATACCTACGTTTATTCGATTACTGACATATTAACGTCCATACATTGAAAATCCGAATCAGTTTAACAATGAAACTAGATGAACTTTGCAACAACAAAAACGAATTTCTGAAGGTGTATTTATTTCTTTGTCTGGTAACAGGCCAATGCGGGTATTTCCTTGGCAAGATATGACATTGAAGTCTCGTATTCATCAAAATTATGAAATTTGAATCATGTTTCGTTCGAAAAACACCTAAAATTTAAAAATATCTCACCATTGATACCAAAAGAAAAATTTGTTGTTTTTCTAATCAATGAAATTCATATCACTCCGAGAATGGACATCAGATCTGAAAATTCAATTGGGTACACTTGTAATCGATTTCCACCAAACTATCAACGGTATACGAAGGATTTTGGTGTATGAGACTATCATATACATCAAGAATAATAATAATTTCGTTAACAGAAAACTGAAATTGCTATTTCAATTCACGCAGTAAGAGTGATTTATTAATAATGTTACGGTTTTACCTGTGGGTTCACCAATAATTGACTACACTGATTAATCAAACTTAACTTTATTTCACTTTAAATACACAAATACTTCAACTGAAACTTCAACTATTATTTTATTGTCTATCACCTTACTAGATCACTTCGCGTACCGCACTGTAACGTCCACTTGACTGTGTACTTGAATGTCTCGATACGCTCGCCTAGCGTTTAAATATCGTAATCGAACATCGTAGAATTTTCGCGGAAGTTCCATCGACATCGGTAGCATGACTTTCGCTGCTTCTCGAGCGGCAGGGAACATTGTGCATCCCCGCGCTCTTAGCTACGTCACGTTGGATTTATGATTACCACTGGCGGCCGGCGCGGCGTTACTTTCTTTCGGGCATAATCTATAACAATAACAACACTGATCAAGACTACAAGGACTATAATTTATTCATACTCTTCGAATAGATAATAAAATATCTAATTAAAGCACTATTAGATCGGAACTATTATCATGAGGCCATCGTCTTTTACAGAAATAATTGAAAATATCTCAGGCATTCAGGTAAGCTGTACAGGTATGTGATACACTAAAAAGCGATTTTCATAGAAAGCATTGAAAATTTCAATCGAAATTGAAAAGTAAAAACTATTTTGTGTGTTCAATTTCGAAAACCTATTATTTATTAATGCGACTGTTCCATATTTTTCTTACTCACCGTATACATACAACTATGAAAAGTCTTATGATATTTGTTGTACCAAATCATACAACAGCCTTGAATGTATGAAACCAATACTACATTTTTCACTTTTTAACCAACTCAATTTCATCCCAATTTCAATATTGCTGCTAAAACATTTTTTTTGATAAGTGCACTTAAAGGGTGTCTTTGATTTTCACAACTTTATAATAAGGAACGTATTCACTATAATCAGCTTTCCATATAATTAATGAGATCCAAAAGGGCAGATGAGTGGTTATTATGTTGAAATCATGAAGTTTTTTTTTTTAATCTACATGTACTTTTTTTGCTTTTGAAAATGAAACGACTAAAGTCAAGCCCGTGTAGACATTTTTTTCTCTACATTTAGCTACGATAGAGGGTTAGTCATGGGAGTTCAGGAGTAATAAACGAAGAACTGGAAGAACTGGAAGAACTGGAAAAAATGTCGTTTTTCAGTGTATTTTTCAAGATGCCGGAAAACTCGGAGATGTTGGATTGGGATGACTAAGATTTTCAATTATATCGCCATATTGAATAGGTAACGAATGAAAAAATCTTTACTAGGCCTGACTCACTGTAGAGTTCTAACGAAAAAAAATTCAATTACCAAGGGAACATCAATATTGTGAAATTATCTAACAGGACTAGAAGAATTATAAATTATACATAAGATTGTTATTGTTGATAATTAGTATTCTATATGGATACAAACTGCCTATAACTGAATTTGGTAGTTGAATGTTAATACTTGCTGTTCTCGTTAATAACCGGGATTTGGTAGGTCATTGAACCTTGAAGGGTCGTCGTTAGTAGGGGGCTTATACCAGTTCTACATCTTACTCCACCACTTTTGACCTTGACTGACGTCATACGGCCTAGAGCTATGAGCGCTGTTTCATCTTTAGTGCATGAATTCCACTTCGACAGGCATCTTGGTGCCTCCTTCACACACTCGGATTGTACGGTGAGTTTGCATCGAAGCGTTCAGAGCGCTGAGAGGACGTAATGCAGGCAGTATGTTGTCACTCCTCTAGCAGCGCGGTGTGCACATCGTATGCATCAGACGGTCCCCTGAAGATCAATACTTAGATCGAAACATTTTGCCGCTCGCTCACCGATCGGCACTTTATAATCGGATGGCTCAGTGTGCGGACAGCTGCATTGGAGCGATCAGTCTGAATAAGGACCCTGTAGTGCGAGGAATTACTTACAGATGAAGGCAGTGGCGTACTCAATTCAGTGTCGAGTTATTCATTACTTGACAAGGTTTTGAATACTTGACAAAAAATGTTCTGTGCTCAAGGTCGATACTACATGAATATCTCTGTACTCAAGGTCAAGCAGCTAACGCTAAATTTTCTTCGTGATTATTTCGTATATGTAATCATTTCACAAGGTCTCATCTTCACACATATTTCACAATATTATACAAGTCATATAACACTTTCTTGACATTTTTCAAACTCAAATTTTTATTGATTGTATCTATGCACCAAGAGGTCCCCTAGAAGACCTTTCTGTATAATTGTGACGTCACAGGGGTGGGATGGAGCCCCGGAACTGGATGACCCTGAATACAAGGCAACTTGTGTAGCGTGTTTTGGTGTCTAGTCTGGTGGTGTTGTTAGCTGCAGTTGATCGTTTTTGTTTAAATCAAAATAAAATATTTGAAGACTCCTCGTATATTACGTGTGTTTTACTGTATTTTGTTGGTGCATGTTTAGTTTTAGGGAATGCATAGACTTTTATCAAAAATATCATTTTGACGAAAAACCCTTCATAAATAAGTTTCCCATATGGTGCATACTTTGGGGATGAACCTGTATATCAGATATTAAATCTTGGAATTATTTATCTGAAAAGAAAAGTAACACTCTTTTCGACGCCCGTTTTAACAACCAATTTAGCCTGTACACCAAAAAATATTACATTTTTATTTCCACATATTCAAACTTTAGCATTTCAAAACACAGTAAACCTCAAAAAAAATATATAAACATATGACATTAAACGTATATTCAGCTGTACGAATCTGCTGTCTTTCGCTACTCATCATTTGTCGAACACACTGGCGCCTTTCTTCGTTAGAAATTTTTATCGGTTTCGACGGTTGACACAACAATAGCAACGTTGCGAAATGACAACATTGACAACTGGCAACTCAACATATATATTTGACATAAATAGTAAATAGATTTTTTTTTTGTTGGCCAATAAAGAAGAGAGAGAGAGAGATTTTTTTGTTGTCGAAGATGTAAACTGACATATATATAGGTATTTAAGTTTGAAAGACGTGATATTTTTAGAATTTTATACAAATGCCGTATCCTGGAAATTGTTATTTTTGGAATAGAAGTGCGTAAATAAAACATGGTTTCATTTAGATCTCACTGTTTGGTAAACATTTCGAAAATACATTTATATGATTGCGAATTTGTTGTAGTTGCTTAAGGAGTCCGTAAAATGCCTTTCAAACTGAAACTCAAGAAATCTAGGCAGTACAATGTTGTATCAAAATCGCTTTTTGTTATATCTGTTGAAATCCTCGACGGTACAATAGTAGAATGCACCCTGTCTTCCGATAGTACTGGCCAAGATTGTTTGGATATTGTGTGCCAGAAGCTTGGATTAAATCAGTCAAAATTTTTCGGACTGCAATATGTAAGCCGTCATAGTGAAAATGATCCTTGTTGGCTAGAATTGGATCGACCCATAAAACGTCAACTTGATAAATATGCTAGAGGGTTAAGTGTGTACCTGAGGGTAATGTATTATGTTATTTCCGGAGTTCGACTGATAAACGATGAAGTTACCAGGTGAGATGATTATTCAGTCTAATGTAGTTGGGGTTTATGCAAAAACTTATTGTAGATACCATTATTTCTTACAATTAAAGCAAGATATTATAGAAGGAAGAATTTCTTGCACACCTCAACAAGCTGTAGAGCTGGCAAGCTACTCCATGCAAGCGGAATTTGGGAATTTTGATGCTGAAAGGCACACTTCACATTATTTGAAGGATTTTCAACTTTTTCCGAAGGTTAGAATTACTTAACACTAAAAAATTGGTATGAGGATTAATGACCAATTTATGATTAGGCAAGGTAGAGTAAGATAAAGTAAAGCAGAGTGGTAAGTTGGTGAATGAATTTTTTGGCATTTATGAAATGTAAAGTGAAAAGGATTTTATGTGGCAATAACCATGCATAAGCATTAAAATTTTTTGGGCCTATTCATGATCCTGCTCTGGCAATGGCACAATTGGAAGAGTTTTAAAAAATAAATTGATTAGGAAAACAAAAATTAACTTTAAATTATAAATCATCACAATGAATATACATTTATGTT